TGTAAAGAGATCTAGAAAGCATACTCTCATAAGAGAATAGGAATTGTTGAGAATGAACAATGGTGAATCAATTTCTAACTTTCAAAAGAGATTTACACACTTGATAAATCACCTTGTTGATCTTGGCAGAAAATTTGAAGAAGAAGAGTTAAATTTGAAAGTGCTGCAATGCTTGGACAGATCATGGCAAGAAAAGGTGACTGCATAGAAGAATTAAAGGACTTGACTTCATTGACCCTTGCTACTCTCTTTGGAAAGCTGAGAGAACATGAGCAAAAGCTGCATATATTTGAGGAAAATGAATAGCAAGACAAGAAGGGCAAGGGAGTTTCACTAAAGGCCTTGAAATCAACCAAAGGCAAAGAGGTGTGTGAAGAATCAAGCTCTGAAGACTCCGTAACAGAGAACTTCAACTTGTTGGTGAAGAAGTTCAGAAAATTCCTAAGGAAAAAGAGGAATTCCCCCTACAAGTTCAATAAAAACATTAACAAGAAAGAGGAAGCAAGTACATCCTCCTACAATTGCTTTGAGTGTGGAAAACCGGGACATATAAAAGATGAATGTCCAAACCTCTTGAAGAAGCAACAAGAGGAAAAGAAAATGAAGAAAAATGGCAAAGGAAAGAGAGCCTACATTGCTTGGGAAGATAATGACTCAAGCACAACAAGTGATGAATGTGAATTTGAAGAGAACAATTTGTGTTTGATGGCTGGAGCTGACCAAGACACAGTAGTAAGTGATTCTGACCTTGAATCTAATCCGGACTATGATCAACTCCAAGAAGCTTTCATTCAAATTCACAAAGAGGCTGTGAAGTTAGATGCCTTAAACTCAAAGCTTAAGTGATGAATGTGAATTTGAAGAGAACAATTTGTGTTTGATGGCTGGAGCTGACCAAGACACAGTAGTAAGTGATTCTGACCTTGAATCTAATCCGGACTATGATCAACTCCAAGAAGCTTTCATTCAAATTCACAAAGAGGCTGTGAAGTTAGATGCCTTAAACTCAAAGCTTAAAAATAAGCTGTCATGGTATGAAAATGCTTTAATTAAAGCTGAACAAGAGCTTGAGGATTTGAAAAATGAGCATGAAAATCTTCAAACTATCTTCAACTTTAATGAAGCTCATTGTGAAACCTCCTCTTCCTCAAAAGGAGTTTGTGAAAATTGTAAGACTTTTGAAAAGGAAAATGCTGATTTGAAAATCACTCTTGCAAAGTTCACAAATGGAAATGCAAATTTGAATATTATTTTGGGAAAACAAAGAAACACTTTTGATAGAAGTGGACTTGGTTTTAATCAAAGCATGAGCATGCCATTAAAATCAAAGAAAGGAGTTTTTAAGAAAAACCAAGATTTCAGAAAATTTAAAAGCAATTTCACTAGACAAACAACTTGCTATTATTATTGTAAGAAAGGTCACACAATAAGGAATTGCTACTCTAGGAAATATGGAGTTCCAAATGGAGAAATGGTTTGGATTAAAAAGAGCCAAAGGCTGAGAACTAACCTACAAGGACCCTTCACATGGGTACCTAAATCTTTTTTCTGAATCTTTGTTGTAGGAATGCTTGAGGGCCAAGAGCTTACTATGGTATCTTGATAGTGGCTGCTCAAGGCATATGACTGGAGATCCTTCAAAATTCTCAAGTCTGAAATTGAAGAATGAAGGGTATGTTACCTATGGTGACAACAACAAAGGGAGAATTCTTGGTCATGGTAATATTGGTAACTCCTCCTCCCAAACATTGATTGAGAATGTATTGCTTGTTGAAGGGCTGAAACATAATTTGCTGAGTATAAGTCAACTTAGTGATAAAGGCTTTAAAATTAAATTTGATAATACTTGTTGCTTGATATGTGATAAAAAGACAAAAGAAATCAGATTCATTGGAAAAAGAATTGACAACATATACATGCTTGACTTAGAACACTCCATAGCAATTTCTAATACTAAGTGCTTAGGGGAGTTGGTGGATCCTCCCGAGGACGATTAAAACTGCTGGTTATTTGTAGTCTCTTTACTTTCCAATGAACTATGCTCTATTGTTTGTTTTCCCCCTTTTGTTATGAACTATGCAAGGCTTATTGTTTTCAATTATGCCCCTGTTTTTGGAGATATCGAGAATGGATTTGCGAGAAATTTCTAAGTTAAAAACTTGTCATATTTGAAAAGGCAGTCGCCTACACGCTGATTTCATACACCAACCACGAAAATGAGTGAAAAAATTTCTTAGTTAAAAACTTGTCATATTTAAAAAGGACATCGCCCATACGCCAATCTCATACGCCGACCTAAAAAAATGAGTGAAAAAATCTCTAAGTTAAAAACTTGTCATATTGAAAAGGCAATCGCCCATAGGCCGATCTTAATGATCAATAAGAATTTTCTGTAAATGCAAAGTTGAATATTTTGAATCGGGTAATCGCCGATACGCGGATCACGATAGTGAATGAGAATAATTTTCTGAGTTTAGAGTTGAAATACTGAACCAGGTAGTCGCCGTTACGCCGATCGCAATAATGAATGAGACATTCTGGTCTCTTTAAAAATTAGGAAAGTAATTCCGAATTAAAAAATATTGTTGAACGATGAGGTCGTCCTAATTCCGATCTCATGAAGAATAGTTCAAATAATTCCAAGTTTAATATTGTTGGTGATCGATGAGATCGTCCGAATTCCGAACTCTTTTAAAAATGAAGAAAAATAGTGGGGGTCTTCAAAGCGCCGACCTTATGGTTAATGAGATCCCTTCCGAGTTGGTCTTCAAGTTGTTTATACTCGCCCATTCGGATTTTTACCGATCAATCACGAGTTTGTTCTTTGAGTTGTTTATACTCGCCCAGTCAGATTTTTACCGATCAATCACGAGTTTGTTCTTCGAGTTGTTTATACTCGCCCTGTCGGATTTTTACCGATCAATCACGAGTTTGTTCTTCGAGTTGTTTATACTCGCCCAGTCGGATTTTTACCGATCAATCACGAGTTTGTTCTTCGAGTTGTTTATACTCGCCCAGTCGGATTTTTACCGATCAATCACGAGTTTGTTCTTCGAGTTGTTTATACTCGCCCAGTCGGATTTTTACCGATCAATCACGAGTTTGTTCTTCGAGTTGTTTATACTCGCCCAGTCAGATTTTTACCGATCAATCACGAGTTTGTTCTTCGAGTTATTTATACTCGCCCAGTCGGATTTTTACCGATCAATCACGAGTTTGTTTCCTTTAAATAACACACCTGTCGATCATGGAAAGATAAAAGAGATGGTATTTAATAAAATGGGAATTATTGGTTAGTGGTGCCTCGTTAAAAACCTTCTCAGCAAAAAATCCTTTAACATTTTTATAGGGAATAAAAATCTCTTGGGACGACCCCAGCTTCTCGGCTTTCAGCTGCCCTTTTGTTGATTTGTCCTTCCTCCGTCTTGATGTGACTCAGGGCAAAAGCTCTCACTTCCGACATCGTTTGACAATTTGCTCTTTCGAGCGCGATGTTGAAAGCTCCAGACCTTAGACCCTTCTGGAATGCAATGACAGCCATCCTTTCATCCAACGATGCTATCCTCAAGGCGACCTCGTTGAACCTTTGCAGAAATTCCTTCAGCGACTCCTCGCGTTGCTGTTTGAGGTCGAACAAGTCCGACGTGATCGGCGGTTTCTTCTTGTTAGCGGCAAACAGTGCCATGAAAAGCCGGCTAAAGACATCGAAGTCGGTGATTGATCGGTCAGGGAGACCACTAAACCAATCAAGTGCTGCCTTCTTGAGCGTGCCCATGAACAATTTGTAACGGACTTCCATACTCCCTCCACAAATCAACATTTGAGCTCAGATATCCGTCAAGTGCTGACTGGGATCCTGCGTTCTATCAAAAGGTTCCACCTGGGGGACCCGATGGTCTCTCGGGATGATCTCGACCTCTATAGCCTCCGAGAATGGTCGGAAATCCCTAGGAACTTCCATCATGACATCTTCCTCCGCCGTTCGGGTGTTGGCCGTTATCATGGCCTGCATCTCATCCGCCCGCCTCTTGATCTCCTCGTTTTCTCGTTGGATGGCCTCCTCTCTTTTCCTGTATCGTGCATTCTCCTCCCTTAAGCCATTGATCAATGACATCATCTCCTCCATGGTAGGGTGCTGTGAGTCATTGTTATTGTTTGATGTGCCGCCTCTCGCCATGGTAAAATGCAAGTTCTTCTATATGACTTGGGGCGTAGGAAAAGTTTCACCGTAGCCCCACGGTGGGCGCCAAAATGTTCCGGCCAAAAGGTGGACTAGGGTTTCTTCCTAGGTTAAGCCTTAGAGCCAGAGCATTCAAAAGTGTAATCTGCCGTCTTAACTCTAGGGTTTTAGGTTTTATACTTTTCTATTCATCGGCCACCTGGGCCTTGTGAGTGCGAGGATTTCCATAACGGATCTCCATAACGGTTTTCCTTGGGAATATTTGATTATCAAAGATAGGCTTTTCATCCTTGATTCTCGGACTAGTCCAAAGGGTGAGACCCACTCGGACTTTGGCCGACCATACCCTCGCCGAGCTCATCATGGTCGAGCATACCCTGGCCGATCTCACCATGGCCGAGCACAGCCTGGCCGATCTCACCATGGCCGAACACACCCTGGCCGATCTCACCATGGTTGAGCACAACCTAGCCGATCTCACATCAGCCGAGCACATCCTGGCTGTCGCAACCGAAAATTTCCGATCTTGCGACCTATGGTTTAAACATCCTTTTAAAGATCTCATCAATTAGGGAATTCCCGGACACCAGACTAATCCTTAATTAATGGTTTTGAAAATAGGTTCTATGGAGTCGCCACCAATATTTTACTCAAAACATTGGAAAAAGAAAATATTTTTTCAAGTCCAATAATGGCCTTGATAACCAGAATTGGGTTCGGGGGTCGATTACGTGTAAGGAATGTATTAAGCACCCTTACAACGCCCTAAATCGGTACCCTATGATGAAGTTAATG